CATATACTTAAACGGATCCCCTCGAGAGATTGAGAGAGTTGGTAAGATATTTATATATTCTACTTATCAAATACTCCTCCGATCATTCTAGTTGAATGGGACTCACTAGTTATTAAACTATCTAAATGCCGACGAGTTCTTAAAAATGGTTTGCATTTGAGGTTGCATGAAGGTTTGAGACCGAGTTGTCAAACCAATGATGTTTTAGGTATAATACTCCTTAGTGTTATGAATTGAGCGACAGGATTAGCCATGTCACTTCGTGGCACAATTGACTATTAGCCTTTCATAGAGTCTCCTAATTTCTTTTTAGATGAAAGATCGATGCTTCAACTTAGTGCACACCTATATCTTTTTTTTTTTTCAAAGTTGTTCCTCTTAAAGATTGATTTAGTAGAATCAGCCACTCTATCTATCTTAATGGCTTGCTCGATATGATTAGTCATAAATACTATCTTAATAAAATTGTTAGATGTATTACTCAATAGATGATCATATAAAGAGGCCTAAAAGTATTTATGAAAAGTGTAACCATCTCTTTATCTAGCAATAGTGATCGAATTCTTGAAATAGTTTCTCACCACCTCTAAGCATACTCTCTAGCATATTCTTTAACTCTTTTCTCCATCGATTGTAAACTGGATCAATTCGAATTCATTTTCAAGTTAAATTTATACTCCCTCATAAAAGTTTTGACTAAATGTCTTTTTTTTTTTTTTTACTTTTTTCAATCTAGATCGATAAACCAAGTGAGAGCAAACCCTTCTAGACTTTTGAGAAAAAAGTGAATCAGCAATGATTCACCATTGGCTACTTTGGTCATTTTGTTCAAATATACACTTAGGTAGGTTCTCGATCACCGACTATCGGTATACTTAAAAAACTTGAATAACTTGAACTTCTTTGGGATCACCATATTCGATTCGAAAAACATTTCCATTATCGAAAAAGGATCATATATGTCTACGCCCTCAATAGCTCCGAGTCACTCTTCAATAAGCAATGAGTTTTTTTACTTCAAATTCAGTAAACATCTTATCTTTCTCCTAATCATCGAGCATCTCACTTAATTATAATTAGAACTAATTAATTAAGTCGATTTGGGCGTAATGTTTTAAGCTCTATTATTTTCATATTCTTTTAAGTCCATTAGAGTTTGTTTATGTTCTCCTTAGGTGGCAAGGACGTGTAAAGTCCTTTTAGGGTTATGAGTGGTGTGTTTATCCTATTTAAAGGCTGATTTAGATTTGTTTCGGACTTACATAATAATTTTGAGAGTTAATAAATTTGAGATGATTTTCTTCCTGTATTCTTTTAAGAACTAAATCGACTTATCAAGGATTGTAACTCTTATGGCTTCTCTAAAATTATCATCCTCCATAGGGTGTGGCGTTCTTCACTCAATTGTAACATAGCTTCGGTTCTTACCTCCTTATAGGCAACGAGTTGGGTTCCGCTTATTATAACTTGATTGGGTGCGTTCTTGGGGTTGTCTAGCGACAAAGATGTTTGGGTCTCTCATCTTTATACGTAGAGTTCACATCACTTGGTTTCCATTAATACAGACTCTTAACTTTCTTTATTATCATCAATTTTGACCATGATTTCAAGGAGGAGCTACTCCTAGGAGGTGGGCGATCGATTTTGTGGTGGTGGCAATCGATATTTGGCAAGAATCATGAGATACAATTAGGTTGCTAAGCGAGGTCGAGTCGAGATGGTTCTACCTTCGATTTCTCCCTTCTTCGACGTCTTCTTCTCCTGTAACCAATAGAGATAGGTGGATCCGGAGTTGGGCTATCAATTAGTGGTGGTGATTGGAAGTAATATTGGTCGAAAGATGATTGATTTGGAAAAAGGAGTTTCGATCGAATATGATGGGTAAACGAGTTCACTATTCGAGTAAAGACGTGTTTGGCTTGTTTTTATTAGTATTTTTTTGTATAGAGGTTTTTTGTGGTGGTTTTGTGGGTTTTTTGGGTGATGAAGGGTGGCTAGATTTGTAGGGATGCTCGTGATGGTTGGTCAAGTGAAAGAGGGAAGGTTGATGGTGGTTTAATAGGTGGTGATGGCTTGGGTAATAGGAGAATGGTAGTGTTTTATGGGTTTGGATGACGGAGGAGCTTGAAAATCAGCTAGATAGGAAAAATGGGTGCTAGAAAATTTTTGGAGGGAATGGAGGCTTGTATATGTAGAGAGAAAAATGGGCTTTTATAGGTGGAAATTACGGTTTTTAGGTAAAAATTAGTTTTGGTCCCTAATTCCTCTTCATTCATCCAATTAAACTTAATTTGTGTTGTCTAAACTTCAATAACACCCCAAATTATAATTAATTAGAACCTTTCCTTAAAAAATCATATTTTTTTCCTTTTTTTGTATTTTCTTTTATTTATTTGTTATCTATATTTATTTTATGACAAAGGAGGAAAAGGCATCGTCATCGACCATGCTAGGTCGTCGGAGGAAGAGTGAAAGAGCGGTAAGGGTGTTTTAGTGAGAGAGAAGAAAATGGAGGAAGAAGAGGACTACTATGGGATTTAGGTTTTTCTTTTTAATGACGGACTTGATTTCATCACTATTCATATATGTTCGTCGTTGTTTGAGTTTACCAAATTACACCCTTTTCCCTCTTATTAGTGACATAATCACATCCCGTTGCTAAAAAAAAAAAAGAAAAAAAAAGAAGCTAAATCTAGTATTTAGCGATGACAAATATTATCCGTTACTAAAAAAATCCTAAATCCGATATTTAGTGACGCCCAATACCATTCGTCGCTAAAAAAGCTCTAAATCTACTATTTAGTTACAACCACTATCATCCGTCGCTAAAAAGAAACCTATAATCGGTATTTAGCGATGACATATGTCATTCATCATAAAATACCCTAAATCTGGTATTTAGGGACGACCAATGTCATCCGTCGCTAAATATCGTTTCAAATTAGTTGGTAATCTGTCGTTGATTTAATCATAAAAAATTTATTACGTAATTCAATGATGAAAGTGCTATGTAGTTGAATTTTCATTGTAAATTTATCGATCTCTATCACTATCAACCTAAAATGTCTAAAAATTGATAACAATCAATACTCATTTGTTGATCCGTCGGTGTATATTGATAATTTTATATCCGTTATTGATTTTCGTTGCCATTTTACTATTTTTTTTTCTAGTGTTTGGATTGAAGAAGCTCCCTCTCCATCCATAACCTTGTATTGAACAACTCGTCATTCACAATCTTATTGATGATATGACATTCTATGTGTTAAGAGATACTAAAGAAAAGAGAAAAAAATGTTAAATTACCTTAAACTTCCTTGAACTTTTGTTTATTAGAAAACCAATTCCTAAACTTGTAATTTTATGTTTTGCATTCCTTGAATTTTTTCTTTTTTTTTTAAGATTTAGGCCACCTTATAATTTTCAGCTATCATTCTCTATTTCAAAAAAATTAATTCTTGATATTTTGAACTAATATTTTGCACGTACATACATAAAAATGCAATCTAGTTTTTTTAAAAAAAAATTATTATTTTTCAAGATCATAAAGTATATTTGTTTGAATATTAAAAATGTTAACATATTGGAAAAATTAGAAAATAACTTAGAATAATCTTTTTTTTAGGCTATAAATAAATTTTATTAAATGATTTTTATCATATAACTATTTTATGTGATCGTTATTTTTTTAAAAAAAAAAAGAATAAAAAATTGATAAAATCTTTAAAAGAATTCATAAAAGGTCAACTCTGAAATTAGAAGTTCAAATATTGATTTTTAAATAAATTAAAGGTTATGAGAGGTTGGACCCATTTAGCAAAGAAAGAAAAACATATAATTCATTCATTAAAGCAGGGATGGTGATATATATATATATATATATATATATAGTTCAAATATTGATTTTTAAATAAACTAAAGGTTATGAGAGGTTGGACCCATTTAGCGAAGAAAAAAAAACATATAATTCATTATTAAAGCAGGGATGGTGATATATATATATATATATATAGAACAAAACACCTAATAAATATAGAGATAATAACGATGGAGTTAAAAAAAACATGGAAAAAAAACAAAGAGAGATAAAAATATATATATATATGGAAAGGGGATAGAGAGGAAAGGAATAGAAAAAAGAAAACCACCTATTGAAATAATTAACAAACGAGATACATAGAATCGTTTTGAAGAACGGTCATGTTGAAATTTCAATATTGTATGGGGTCATAGGTAGTACTTGATTTCACAGAAGAACGGAGAGCAGTTGAGTCATTAGTGATCTGGCAAATAAAATTTTATCAAACGAGCGAACAATGAGTCCAAAAACAGTAAAAGAAACAAATGATTTTTCTAAAAAAATAACCACGAAGTGCTAATATACTGATAAATAAGCATCAATTTATAAATTAAGTTTAAATTTTCAATTTTATAATCAATATTTTTAATAATTTATTTTTAAAATATTTAAAATTATATATTGATAAATATTATTTAGTCATGTTTAGAAAGGGATTAATTTTAAAACATGTAAAATTAGCTCGAGACACTCTTATCACCTAACCTTTAAAAAAGAAAAACTCCTCTAGACCTAAGGGTGGCCAGTCCCCCACCTGCCCCCTTGGACCCCGCCGGTACATATAGATAAGGAATCGAAAGGTGAAGACTGAAGAGTACTGATCTTAAGTAAAGAAATGGATATAACGTAACAACTTATTTTTTGACACAGCACCTCCAATCAAGTGGAGATTTTTCCAATTTTCAGTCCTTACACAAGTTGTCGTCAATACTGTTTATTAACAATAATTTATAGTCAGAGCAGAAGCTAAATCTACAGAAAAAGTAAATATTTTACTGAATTTTTGAAGAAAATTTCAAACAAACTGGCATAAGATATGATTGTACATATATTGCATCCTCACTTTTTTCTTTCCCCTCTCTCATTTATCAGCACTCATCATCACTTTGGCACACACTTTTACAAATAGTAACAATTTAACTTACAAGGAAGATATGATAAGTTGGGATTTAGCTTTTTCCCCACTCGGGCCCTTCAACATTCCATCAAGCTCCTTGACAAATTTTTCCATTGCAGGAGCTGGCAAGCAAAATGGGATCACAACCCCACTTTCTCCTTTCTTATTTGTAAATGGAATATAAAAGCTTGCAACTCCAGGGATTGCCCCAACCCCACCTTTGGCAGCGCCACCGTACACAGCGTTACCCCATCCGAAATCTACCTCTTCGAATCCTGCACGCCTTAAGTCCGATACCAGGTATGCCCTTACCACTGCAAAATGAGGCCTTCCCTTAGTTACCATCAAAGATGCTATTGATCGCATGTATTCCTCAGTCACGTCAGCCTTGGCCTTTCTTACCAATTCCAAGGCATACCCAAATGGGTTTTTCGAGAGTTCTCCTGCAGTTGCCACTGCTACTGGAAAAGCAAAGCCATTGCCATAGTATCCTCTGGGCAATGGAGGGTTAAATTTGTCACGGGCATTGACGATGCATATTATGCGCATCTCTTCCGTAGGGTCTGGTTGGAGGGCAATGGTACGACATTTCCAAAGACATGCTGTTAATATTTCGAAAGTAGAACAGTCGCTAAGGTGAGGTGGGACAAATTTTCGAAGAGCAGATATTTCTGAAGGGCCAAAGAAGAAGGAACGATGAGCCATATCATCAAGTGGAATAATTGTACCCTTGGGGTCTGCTACCTCCTCGTACTCACGGTGGGTGCATGTAACCCGTGGTGGGTTACTTGCATTCAGAACATGTCTTTCCCACACAGCTGGGACGGAGGGGGCGGTGGCTCCGCGTGCCATCTCACCAACCGCTGACATGAATTGGACTAGTCCTGGGGCATCGCTCATGGTGTGATTGAGGCGGAGGCCAAAGAGAAAACCACCGCACTTGAGGCGTGTCACCTGCCAATTTGCATAATATATCAGACACCATGAATTGGACTGTGCCTGGGGCAAGCATCGACCACCTATGGTTTAAAAGTACTACTAAATCTCTACTGATAAATTTTGGAATAGTTATAAATTACCCTGAATTAAGTCTCTAACCTTTTTCGCATTAATTTTAATCCCGAACTTTTTTTTTATTTGCAATTAAATGCTTCTGTAATGTTGATTATTAAAATAAAAATATATGTGTTGTTTTTTAGAATTTTCAGAATATTTTAATAATTCACATGCTTGAATGTATATTTTTCAAAACACTTGTCGTTATTTTAAATTAATTAAAGGATCAAAATGAATTAATTGCAGATCTAAAAAAAAATTCAAAGTTAAAATCAAAACAAAATAAAAAATAGAGATTTTTTTCTCTGTTGACTAGCTGATATCGTATTGAAAATCTAGATTTTCTTTAAAGTTTCATGGGCCAAGTTATGTGTGTATATTTATTTATTTATTTAATTGAAATATATAAGTGTATCTAATAATCTTCATTGATTAAGACTTTTAATAAGACAATAATATCACAATTTTTAATGTTCTATTATGGCCATTATAAAACCAAATAATTACTTCAGTCCTTAGTATATATAATATATATGGAGCTACAAATCTCGAGATTTAAATTTCATAATGTAAAATAATAATAATAAAGATGGGGGCACACAGAGAAAAATTCAATATGGACCCTAATCAAACACGAGCAACTGTCATGAATAATGATATTAAAAAGAAGAAGGGAAGAAGAAGAAAAAGACAAAGACAGAGTAAAAGAAAAGTCAAAAACCATTGAATCACACAATTAACGTGATATTTCTTCATGGTTACTTGATCCAATGACTTATTAATATTCTTATCATCTGTTTTTATTTTTTATTTTTTATTTTTTCTTGTGAAATACTACCGAAATCAATTGATCTACCAGTTTAGTCTTTTTGTTGATTTAATTAATTAATTGTCCAACCTTAATTATTATACATGACTTGTTAGTATATCTCCACACGAATAAAGCCAGCCGATCCACCAGTTTTGTAATTACAAGAATCAGGCGAGTCAATGTTAATTGGCTCCAAAAAGTCATGGAAAAAGTTAGCATCAGTCCCCATACCATTAAATTATAACTTAGTCCTTATAGTTTCGATTGTTGTCCTTATAGTTTTGATTGTTTCAAAAAAATTAATTATTTAATCAGTATTAATTTAATATTACCTTATTTCTAAAAACAAAAAAAGGGGGCATTTTTTTCCTCGTAAATCAACAAATACAAACCTTATGTAATTAAGAGTGATCTTTTTGAGAATTATATATATCTACCAAAGTCATTAATATTTTCATGTAGGAAAGGAAAAATACCTGAATAAGCAACAAAGGGCAGTTTAAGACCCCACTAGAGCCAGGGACATCAAAGAGTAGCTCCTCCAAGCAGGGGAATGGAGGTTGAAGTGCATCGCCAAACTGTTCAAGTGTAACATCAGCATCAGCTTCAATGAACAAGATACCCTCGCCGGTGCATTCCACCATAAGCTTACGGTTAGGCCCTTCCCTGAGCCTGCCAGCAAATGGATAGTAAAACACTAATGTTTTAGCAAGTGCCTCCCTAATGAACTTAACTGGGTCTTTCCCTTGCATAGAAGGATTATTGCGATAAAATTGCATGACTGGAATGTGGAATCGAAGACCCTCTTGGTCATCAATGTCGGACAATAGTTTGAACTCATGTGGAGTGGGCTTAGCCGGTTTGATTAGTTCAGGTTCACGTCTGTGAACTTTGAACACTAGAGAGGTGGGTGGTGATGCCATTGTAGAGTATAATGATTTTTGTGAGAAATGATTTCCACTAACAAGTTATATATAAGCAAGAGTGAGAGCATATGGGACAATTATTTGGTTGTTGTAGACTTTATAGTGTGTATAAATCATTTTTTTTCGTCGTGTATAGTATCGGAAAGGATGTGCCTTGTCACCATCTTTTCTTCCTTTCTTCATTAAGGGATTGGGTGGCTGTGAATTTGTGGAAATAATAATAATAAAAAAGTGAGTTTCTTGGCTCCTGCCAATCAATTGTTGACTTGGTCGGCTTAAGGCTCAACTCTAGATAGACCAATGCCTAAAATCATGGTTTGGTGAGTGGGAAGCTCAAAGGATGTCCAAAAAGAAAAAAAACTGTAGTTTTAACTGTTCCTCCAGATTCATTGACACTGTACATTCTACTATTCTTTTTTTTTTTTTTCTCTCTCTCTTGAATTCTCTTGGTTGTTGGATCTCCCATTTGTGGTTTTCACAATTTATAGCAATTTTTTTGGTCTCTACAAACATCGCTTTTCATCCTCGTATTTTTTGCACCTTTATTTTTTATTCCTATGAGTCATTTCTTTCGTCATTCTCTTTTCTCTTTATTTACATTAGATTGTCATTAAGTGGCTATGTTATTACTTTATCACCCTCTTTTTATTAATTTTTTTTCTACACTTTTAGGCTCCGTTTGTTTGGTAAAAAACAACTTTTATAGAAAAATCAATTCCCGAAGAAGCTATTTTTCAGGAAATTGTTTTTCAAAAAATATTTTTTTTCCGTTTGGCAATTACATAAAAAAACTGCTGAAAAATATATTCCAAGCATTTTGTTTGATATAGGAAATTAAAATACAAAAACAAGTATATGATTGTTACATCAATAAGTTTTGATAAAACATAAAAAATGCATATTCATAATTTCACAATATAAGATACATTTAGAAAAATTTAATAAATTTTCATAAACACCGACTCTAAAATTTTAATTCAAAAAAATAAAATGTATTTTTTTAACCATCAAACCAATTCATCAAAATTATTTAAGACAAAATCAAGTCAATATTCACATTTAACTAAAAACAATTTCTAAGTAATCCTATTGGTAACTCAATTAAGAATTCTTTTTTTTTTTTTTTAGAAATTGAACTAATAATTCAGTCTAAAAAATAATTTTATAAATGATTAGTTATCATTTGTAAATAATTATTCATTTGGTTTCAAAAGATTAATGTTGGAATAATTTGTAACTAATTATTCACCGCAATTATCAAAAAACTATTGCAACTAATTAAAATTACAAATTATTGATTTAGTTGCAAATGAATAGTGTTGAGAAAATAATATATTTATTAACGAATTAATTAATTTTAATTTTTTTTACAAAAAATTGTAGTCTTGTAATTATCATTTTTAATCATTTAAGTATAGTGTAAGTGGTGTTTGAGATAATAGTAAAAAAAAAAAAAAAAGATAAATTATTGAAATATTTATTATAAAAATAATTTTAAGATGTAAAAATGGTTTTTAAGAATATTTAATGTATTTATAAATCAAAAAATTAAATATCGAGTGGAAATAGAGAAAAAAAATTAAATAAGAAATAATAATTGATAAGAAATAATTAAAAATTAATTTGATATATTTTAGATAAAAAGAAAATAGAAAAAAATTGTTAAAATATATCGAGAGAAAAGTAAGTAACGCAAGAACGAGACATGTCGTGAGAAGAAAAATGTTTTCCTCTTTTTAAACCGAGAAAATATTTTTCCAAAAATACTCTATCATTTTTTGGTTGACTAAAAATCATTTTCTCGTTGACTTTTTTTCTAAACGCAAAACAAACATTAAAAAATAAAAAAAAAACAAGTTCCTGAAAAATATTTTTTTCCTAAACAAACACAGCCTTATATCCTTTTTCATAACTTTTCAAATCCATTAAGAGAGCCCTTTTTCTTTCACTTTTATATTGTTTTTTCTTATTTATCTTTTATGCCATTAAATGGCTCTGTCATTCCCCCTCCCCCACCCGGTTTTTTACCTATTTGCACTCTCAAGCCTTTTTTATCTATTATGGGGAGTATTTAAATTAAAAAATGTTATTCTTATTATTTTTTTCTCTAATGGTCAAAACGTTGATCCTTAACTATAATGGTTTAATGACCAAATTTATCTTAAAACTATAAAGTTGTAGCAAAATAAGGTCTACTATTAATTTAGATTATTTCAATGCCAAACTATTAATTTTTTTACAAATTTAATCTTCTCCATTATTTCTGATTATCAAAGTATTGATTGTTAATTAAAATATTTAAAGCGATGTAGTTTTAAGCATTTCAGATTTATTTTAGAATTAAAGTTGATTTAAAAAATAATCATAATTCAATTTTTTTTTAAGACTACATAGATCCATTGCACATCATTAATTATATTACAAAAAAAAAGTAAGATTCATAAATTAAAAAAAAAATCGTCTAAGCTAACTTAAAGCTAATTATTATTAAATATTAAATTCTAAAAAAATAATGTTTTTACTAGATAGATCCATTACACATCATTAATCATCCAACAACAAAAGTCAAATTTATAAATAACAAAATAATCTAAACTTCTTCAAAACTAAGTATTATTAAAAAAATTGAAATTAATTTTAATTAAAAACAATAACACTCGATAATAATAGAGAATGATAAATTTTATCCAAAACTAATAATTTAGAGTCTAAATAGCCTAAATTTATAGCATAGATCTTGAATTGCTACAATCCAATAATTTGGTAATAATTTTCGCCATTAAACCATCAAATTGAGCTCTTTGATGGATAAATACCCCGAATTAGAATAAAAAATCAGTTAATATTTTTAATACCCGACAAATGCCTAGAATTAGAATAAAAAAGCTATTAATATTTTTAATACCCTACAAATTTCCTTTCACTCCTTTGGTAAATAAATTGCATTGATCAGGCACCATTTTTTTTCTTTTAAACTTTACGGTTTTTTTTAATAGATTATATATGAGTTATTGTTTGGTTAAATACAGATAAACTTGTTCTGACCTTAGTTTTTTTTAATGCCAAGAATTATTTTTCATTGTCTTAAATTATTTCTTTCTTTTTTCCTAAAGTCTTGCAACACGTCGTTATTTTTTTTTTTCATTTTTGCCTTTTTTCATCAATTTATTTTAATTTTGATTATGAGGTTTTTCTAGTAAAATAAAATTCGAGTTCCATTATAATCTTTTTTTTCGTTATAATATAAAAAATTATTGTTTATTTTGTACCCTTTAAAATTGCTGAACGAGCTTTCAATGCAAATATATATATATATATATATAAAAGATGTAACAAAAAAAAATCATTATAAAAAGAGGCTGGAGTAACCCTTCGTTTTTGTAGTGATAACCAATTGGTCTACTGTAATAATACGATCCTCTATTCAGCTCTACTAACCACTAATTATTAGCATTTATCTCGTATGGTCTAACAACTGATTTGATTTATAAAATATTATCTATGGCCAAATAAAAAAAAATTATAATAAAAAAAAATGCGAGAATAATTAAGGAATCTTTTAATATAGTGTCAAAGAGTCAATCGGTAGCTTTAGACCTTGCAATCATGTTTAAATTGAAAATACCTTACTTTTTTTTAATTGAAATTACATTGATTGGGTTTCATTTATTTCGTCTAAACTTTACTATTTTTTTAATAGATTGGTTAGGAAAAGGAAGAAAAAAAATACAAAAAGGAAAAAAAATATTGTTTGGAGTTATTGCTTAGTTAAATACAGATGAATTTGTTCTGGCCTTAGCTTTTCTTTTAATGCCAGGAATTACTTTTTATTGTCTCCAATTATTTCTTCTTCTTTTCTAAAGTCTTGCCAGTGCGGCCTTATTTTTTACTTTTATTTTTTTTTCATCAATTTATTTTAATTTTAACTACTATAGATTATTGGGTGAAAATTATGAATTATCGATCATTATTTTTTGAGCTTCTCAAACAACCCGAGTGAGAGAGATATATATATATATATATATATATTAATGAGCATATATGTAATAACTCGACCTAAAAATAATGTTTAAGTTTAAAAAAAACGGATTGGGTATAAAAAGAGGGGATAGCTCGTAAATCTATTATAAATACTTACAATTTATTATAAATATCATTTTTAAATCTATTTTTTTCTTGTTTTCAAAATAAATTTATTATAAATACTTACACAAATATCATTTAGAATAGCAGTTATTTGATATATTTAATTAATATCATTGATTTTTATTTAAATTTTTCTTTTTTTATTTTTTGTAATTGTTTCCAATAAAAAGAAATTTGATACATGTATTTAAATAGTACTTAATGGAAGACATCCGTCCGCTTTTGCCTAATAATAATTACTTACTTGCTTATGGAAACCAACATGTATTTACACACAATTCGAAACACAAAGCATTAAGGTATTGTTTGGTAATCGGGAATAGAGTTATGAGAATAAGAATGCGGGAATCGAATGAAAATTAAGGAATCGAATAGTATTTGTATTTTCATACCGTATTTGGAATACTAATGAAAAATCAAAATACAATTTAAATTTTTTAATATCTGATTTTTTAAACAAATAAAAATAATGATTAAAAAAATAATTTTATTAAACTATAATGGTTGTAAAAATAATAAAGGTGATGATGGTGATTGTGCATGGTTATGACGAGTGATGGTTCTAGTGGTGGTGGTGGTGGTAAAATTAGTTAATAGACAATAAATAAATAAAATATATTATTTTTTTGAAAAAAAAATTCATTCCCATTACTTGTTTTTATTCCCACATCTTATATGGAAATGAAGTTATGTGTAAATTTTCATTTCCATTCACACTCTTCATTCTTATTCTCATTTCATTTCTTTTAACCAAACACCTACAATGTGGGAATAAAACTTTCATTTTCATTCTCACCACTCTATTCTTGATTACCAAACAGCACCTAGAGGTATGACTCGAGACTTAAACA